GCAGGCAACAGCCAGTAGCATGAAGCATCATCTTTTTTTGGGATGTCCTTCCATCCGTCCCATTCTCGTGAACGCAATAACGTGTAGAGGGAATTTCTTCAAACTTGGGACTAATATTCACTTCATAGATGATCTGATTAGATATTTGTGGTCAAAGGTTAAGGTCACGTAGAGTGTCCATCGTCTAACCATCAGGTTGGCGGTTCAATCCCAATCTTCCCCATTCTGCATGCCGAAGTGTCCTTGGGCAAGCTACTAAACCCACAAATGGCCCCTTCTCGTAGAGAAAATGCAGCACATAGATTTACTTGTGAATGTGTGTGAATGGCAAAAACTACTGTTAAGTGCTTTGAGTGGTCATCAAGACTAGAAAAGCTCTATATAAATATAGACAATGAGTAAACAAAACAATAATAGACGATGGGCAAATAATTCCAGCATATGCAATCAATTGTAAGTTATCACCACCATACAGAATTGATGAAGTAAGTAAGAGAGGGCTTAGACCCCGTTACTCATAATTTTATACATAGTTCTATGTGAAGTCAAGTCCAACATGTTCTTGAGTGTTCTCTTTATTGTTCCAAATGTTGGTGTTTTAATTAAACCCAACCCCCTCGTTTTTTCTTGCTGTCCTCGCTGTCCTCTCTCCTCAATCCCCCACTGACCTGTGCTTATGTAACACCCCCTTCCACGAGTAGAGGAAGGAATGTTTTTTTAAACAAGATTTCAGATTAAGACACTTGATTCGGCTACAGGAGCAGAATGGACAATTAATAAGACCACACAGTCAACTTTAGTTAAGGCACTTGTTTGTATTAAACCATTCACACTTCAAGTTTTCACACAATACATCCGATTGAATCCAAAAAAAAACAACAATGGGCCCAGATCAGTTGGCTCGCCACCTTTGGACTGGATCAGTTTGCGGAATCATACATCCATAAAAAAAAAAACGACACCGTTCACTACAGAACAAGCTTTTTTTTTTTTTTGTGTGCACTGTACCATGCATTTCACAGTTACATTGGTGCACAACATACATCAACACACTATACATTCAAACTATATTTTACACAGTTACATATAAGACAAATGTTTACAAAATGGTGATAGCCGCTAGCTTAACATTTCTATGAGCACTGCTCACTACACGGCAGCAGCCATTCATGCATCGTCATGAATTTACTTCACAATCTCTGGTCTCACAACCAATTCACCGAGAAGATTCCAAAACAACCCAAAACGAACACTGTTCGTCTCACTGGTGGTTAACATGGGCTGTCGCTGGGAATTTCGGACAAAGAAATGCTTTACCGCGCATACAGTGGGGCGAAGCACACCTTTCTTCCACTTCTGAGATTTTCAAAATAAAACTCATCTACTTCCTTTTTAATAAATTCACACTACATTTCACATTAAAAGCATATATTTTTTTACCTTTTTAACTTTTTAATGCAGCACCATGAATTTCTAATCAATAAACATTTATATTAACTGGGTTACACTTACTTTACACTTAAACAATAAACACCATCACTAATCCTATTAAGACTCAAACAGTACTTGAAGGTTACTTTGCGTATGTTCAATTTTCCCTAACACCTATTTAAACACATTGCAAAAAGTCAGTTTTGCGCCGACACAGTTCCCCTGCCCCTGAGATGTGATGCATACAGCCAGGATATCAGGGTTAAGGTGAGTGTTTCATTACTAGGTTAGAAGCAAGGGCAATGTCATCAAACGCAGCTGTATCATCAGATAATGTATCCCTAAGGTGTTTAGAGCCAAGTATTAGAACCTCTGTTTTATCTTAGATTAATAAGAGAAAATTGTATGTCACCCAGGTTTTTATGTCCTTGAAACATCCTTGAAGTTTAGTTGTTTAATTACACTGTTCTGGTTTTATTGATAGGTATAACTGGGTGTCATCCACATAGCAGTGGAAATTTGGAGTGTGTCCTGATAATGTTTCCTAGTGGAAGCATATATAATGAGAATAAAATTGGGCTGAGCACAGAACTTTGGTGCGCACAGATGACTCATCATTAATGTGAAGAAATTGGAATTGATCTGAAAAATAGGATTTAAAACAGTTTAGGGTGGTTCTTTTAATGCCAATTAACTGTTCTAATCTCTTATATNTCAATAGTATCGAATGCTACGCTAAGATCTAACATGTATTCAAAAAGAAAATTTAATTTAAAAAAATGCACTTGTCCACATTGTTTGCAGAGAGAGTGGCCCTGTTGGCACTAACAATGTTTCAACTGTGGAGAACACTCTCATGCAGAGGGACAGAGGTTTATAAAGGGCTGGTGTGACTTGCTGACTGTAATCTGAAGGAGAGGGAACTTGGTCATGGTGCTTGATTACTTACAGCGTGTTTTTGAACCCTGCATTCTCAACAACAGAAAACGGTCACATTTCCACTGCTATAAAAACACATATGTCGCATGACAAGGAATGTACCAGCACTGAGATTTTTTGTCATGATTTGGTGTGAAAAAACCAAAATATCACAATTTCCAATGTGACAAATAATCACAGCAAGGTTATGAAATATAATTCAGATGCAACCATCTGAGAGGATTCTTCTAGGTTAAATTCTTTTCAATATTATGCAATTAGACAACCTAAAATGTTTTGTGTGAGTGTAGCTACTTATAGCTCCAAAATCAACTTTCCATTTTTTTTTTTTTYTGTGGACAAAAGCAGTAGTGTTTCCACTGTCACCTGTCGTAAAAACCTAGGTCCAGACACTTTTTAGATGGAGTGAAAAAAAGATGCATGTAAGGGAGTTCATATAGAGATTGATCTGATCCAATATCAGTATCAGATTCTGATCCGTGTGCAAGTCAATTATCGGATATCGGACTGGCTTTGTCCATCCACATATTCCACAAATTACATATTTCAGGGTCAATGTAAACTTCCAGCAGGCTGAAGGGATTACAGAGAAGTTGCTCAATTTCATCGTACTCTATGACCACTATCTGTGGTGAAAATGCCAGATTTGGCAACCTCCTGGAACACTTAGAGCCAAGGTATAGTTTGCTGTCCAGGAAATATATATCAGAGCTGCATTACCCAAAGTATACAACAGTTTTATCACAGTTAGCAGCACATGAAGGCCGTTAACTCCATAAATATTACTAGTGATATTATTTAATACGTTTTAATCTAGATTTGGTGAACTCAAATACATATGCGCTACAGAACGCTGTGCTTCAAGTAAAAAAGTGCTGGAGGTCACACACCAGCAGTCTCCATTAAAGGAATGCTAAATGACTAGAACATTCCGCTGGCTAAAGTAAATGTGATTCTGTGAGACAACGCAGGTAACATGAAGAAGGCTATGGAAGAGATGTCAGTTCCAAGCCTGGGCGGTTTTTGTTGCTGCTGTACTTTATTTGTCCTGTATTCGAGGTCCTTCTTTTTCACTGTGTTCTTTTGGGCTTAAACTATCTTGTACATTTATTTTGTTACTACTGTAATACTTGATTTGTCCTGTACGTATTTGAGAAGCAGGGTATTTTTTTGTACTGTATTTATTTTTCTAAACCGTTTTTGCACATTTTTTCAAATATTAACCTTGAGAAGGACACAGTTGTTGCTGCTGTACTTGATTTGTACTGTTGATAGAAACAGGTAGTTTTTATATTTCAAATGTAAAATATGAAATCTTTATTGAGTAGTTGTTAATTCCCATTGGACTCAAAATAATTAGCTTTGGAATACATTGAAATGAATGAATGAATGAATTTATTTTTAATGTGTGGTTCACTTACTACAGCCTCATGTAACATTACGCATAATATCAAAAACAACAACAATAATATGAATATTCAAGAAAAAAGAGCTCTGGCATTGGGACTAACATCCGCATCAACAGATATTCAAATCTAGGTATCAGAAGTGGATTGGCTTTTACCATAATGATATAACATGAATCAGGGACAGCCTCAGTTTATACCCTCTTGACAACTGTCTCTCTGCTCCAAATACAGACTGAGAGCAATTCCTGGGCACGCGTGTCAAGGAGAAGGGTGCAAAAAACTTGTCATATTCATAAAATAAAGTAAACATGTTATCATCGTCCTGGAACTCCCACCGTGTGGACAATTAAAATTACTCAAATAACTGCCGTCACTCACCTGACCAGGCTGAGGCTCCAGCCTCCACCCAGTAACTTTAGTATTCAGGCCATAGAAAAACTCATTGTAGGCACCAAGTCCACTGGTGTCCACTCAATTTCTTTGTACTTTCTCATTCTTCTTCACCAGTAGCAGCAGCATTTCATTTGTCCAAGGCCCCTTACCGTCGTCCTCCCGGACGTTTAAAAACACTGATCGTCCACCTAAAAGTCCACTCAATTGGCCTCTGTGTCCTGCCCCTGGCTGATGATTGATGGTCGTGGCTTGCCAATCAAGTGTAATTTGTTGGCCAGTCTCATTCATCAGTTTGGCATGTTCACTACAACAGAAAAAAACTACACACAAGACTACACAGTGCAAATCCAAATGAATTTACTAAACTGAAACACAATTACAAAATAAATTATAATGCATGTTTATTAATTTTGATTTTCTGCTGTGTGACATATCAAACCACACCATTACATGTGTTGCATAGCGAGGTAATGTATAGTAATTCTCACTCTGATCCCACCCATCTTGTTTGAAAGACACCCGAAGATGGTGAGGAACAGACTCAGGAGCGCTGGTCTGTAGGGGTTAGCCTTTAGCCTAGTGCGTAGCCTGGCTCGCTTTACCTGCTGTTTCCTCTCCCTCCATCTAAACATTGGCTTTTCCAGTCTGACTGCCATAAATAGTTGCTCTGACCTAGTGGGTAATTCATCTAGACCACAGACATTGACAACAGTTTATAGAAAAAGCCATTTTGTCCCTGATTGTCTCATTTTCTGTAAAGGTAAAGAGGCAACAACATTTAAGTAAGAAGTAATATCCTTTTTCTCTCCACATTTTGTTTCCCCTCAGAGGTGTGAATGTTGTGCCATTCCTGGAGATGATGGGTCTACCAGAGACATTAGTTGGCCTTTTGAAAGACTCTTCGAGTGGCTACGCTCTGACTGCATATGCCATGTACAAGGTAATTTGATGGGTTTTTATTGTATTTTAATATTTTGGTTTCATTTGTTCATTGATAATTTTCAATTTATTTTGAAACACGCTCGTTTTCATTGTTCAATGTTCCTAATGCAGAACATGATGGCACTCTGGCTGGGCTGGCTGGGAATGGAAATAATGCTTTACAACTTAAATGCAGAAAGGCCTAAACACTGTATACTTAAGCATTTGTTCATTTATCGCAAATCACATCCTCATCGTAATATTACTTATTATAAAGTTATCTCATATAGCATGTTTTCCTAATATCATGCAGCCATTTCTTCCATCCTAAGCATAGATTATAAAAGTATTAAGAGTATAGTGATTTATGATGTATGGATTGAGGGATTCCTTGTGTTCCTTGTCCTTTTCTTTGTTTTCTTACAGATCTCCACCCCTGCTAGATATACAGTAACTCTGGGTGGCACATCACTATCAATTCAATATCTCCGCAAACATGGCTACTTGTCCACACCACCACCTGTAAAAGAATACATCCAGGACAAAATGGAGGAGACAAAAGAAAAATTTACAGAAAAGATGGAGGAGACGAAGGAGAGACTGTCAGAGAAGATGGAGAACACAAAGGAGCGCATTTCTGAGAAAATGGAAGAGACTAAGGACAAGTTTTCTGAGAAACTGCAGGAAACCAAAGAAAGAGTCTCTGAGGGAAAAGCATTTTTTAGAAAGAAAAATGAATAGTGAAACAATTTGACAGTATGACTATTCATCAGTGAGTTGGGAGCAAGACAGCACTTCTATGACTGGGGGAAAAAGAGAGACACATTGCATTAATCAAATTTCAGAAATCACCTCACACACTTGGCTGTCACCTGTTATCTGTTTTAATTTTCAGATTTCGTTCCTTATTGTCTAAACCCTGCGACTGTTAGTGTTGACAAGACAGCAGCTTCATCTCTGGATTTTCACAGGAATCTGGACTTCAACTCTCTGCTGGTTGTTTGACAGAGGCATGGTCTTATTTCTCTTCATGAAACATTTGAACACATGTACAATTACATGAGGGGAAAGGTCCATGTATCATTTACCTTTGTATAAACAGTACTAAAAGAAACAAAGATTGTATAGCTTCCTTCAGACATGCACTGATATCCAGATATCCTCAGCAATTTTAAAGGAGGTGTATGTGTGAATGCAAATGTCTCAGTGAGAATCTCTGGACTTTCTGCGGACTTTCTCTGCCTGGTTCCCTAGTATAAATTTCGCAGAAAGTCTGCAGAATCCAATATGAGCACACAGCAGGGGATCCCCGCTGGATTCACTGTCAGTGAGTGGGGTGGTTGATGAGGCTTCTTACATGAGACAGACATAAAAAAGACAACAAATATCTAACTTTGATAAGAGCCGATGTCAATGTGCTGTGACCAAAATCACAAGTTCTCCACAGCAGAATTAATTAATTACTTCCTGCCTCTGACTGCTACACCACCCCTCGCCTGAATCCTGTTGTGATGGGTCTGAGTGAAGAATCTCCAGCTGCAGAGCACATGTGCATGTCCTCCACAGGACATTTCTGAAAAAGGCTTAAGAGAGAGAAAGAGAGAGAGCAGTCCTTATGCATCCGGGTGTTGAGACAATAAAACTTGAAGTTTGTGGTTACTTATACATACTAGTCCATCAAAGCCTTTATGAAGAATATTTTAAACCCTCTGTCTTTTCTCTTGTAATGAAAACTATTTTTTTTTAATGTATTTTTATCTTCTAGCCAAAACTAATTTATGACATTATTTTAGTGTCTGTACCACATACTGTTGTGGCTGAAAGTCTCCATTTTTGGAGAATGGTTTAGGGGCAGAAATTGTCAGTGAATGTCAGTTTACATGTGATGAGTAACTGGTCAGGTAAAATTAGTCATGTAAACACGTTGGGTCCAGTATTGTACATGCAGTCATATGTATGAACACAGGCAGTACTGTGTAATACACGGATATAATAAAGTGGTTACAGTGTCCTCCCTGCCAGCTGAGATGTCTTGGCTTCTCTAGTAAATATAAAACGTTCTTGTGAGAACAGATGTGTGGCTCAAACTACAGATGAATAAAATTAATTGCAAATCAACACAGTGGGTGGCTATATTTATTTATAAGCTTAACCAGCCCCTCTTTAAATCCATCACCATTTACAATAACTGACACATGACTGAGACTCATGAGATAATTCGCTGCCGTAACAACCTCAACCTACAACTGTGGAGGAAGCTGATCAGATTCTTTATATGAACCTAGCAACCTAATTACCTCAATTCAAAGTCATACTCAAATAAAAGTACCAAATTAATGAGCTAAATGTGCTAAAATGTCCAGTTAATATTTTTACATTGTGGCAAATTACTACTTGCAACACAAAGGGGATGAAGTGGTCAATCAATCAAATTTATTTATATAGCACGGTATCACAACAAACAGTTATTTCAGGGTGCTGCACAAAAGTCCAAGATCTTAAGAAACACAAAATCCAACTTGTTCCACACCGAGCAAGCATGAGCAACAGCGGGGAGGGAAAACTCCCAGGTAATATTACAGGGTAATAAAAGTAAATGAAGGGGGGGGGGTTGAGTCAAGTGTCAGGTCAGGGGCTTGAATCCAGCCCGGGAATCTCCACATGGACGTTTGCATGGTCTTCCAAGGGCGTGTTGGTCCCCCCGATACTCCTGCCTCCGTCATGGTTCACATGCGCGGTAATAGGACCCATGACTCCAGAGGTGGGAGGTCCTCAGGTGGGAGTGCTGGTGGTTGTGTGACCCTCCAGGTAAGCCCTGCGAAAGACCGACGACCTCACTAGGTCCATCCCGAGCCAGGACGGGCTCCGGAGAGCTGCACAGTATGAACCAAGGAGGGGAGGAGAAGACCCAAGGAGTTAGAGATATGTAATAAGATATTACAAAATAAACCAGGCAGAGAGTGAAGAAGAGAGAGGAAGATAGAAGGTGCTAGTGCCTGATGGGTGATCCCCCAGCAGTGTAGGCCTATAGCAGCATAACTATGGATGACTATGGTTCAGGGTTGAGCTAAAAGCTTTATCAAAAAGGAAAGTTTTAAGTCTATTAGTCTATTGTCTCATTTGGACAAAATTTCCTCTGTCTAAATGAGAGCAAGACAGAATGTATTTTGTTTGGCTCATCAAACCAGCCTAGTACAACACCTGGTCTTGGTCCACAGGTATCCTACTGTAACAATGTTGTTAAAAATCTGGGAGTGAAATTTGATTCCAGTCTTAAATTTGACTTACAAATTAACACTGTTGTGAAGGCAAGCTTCTTTCAGCTTCGCCTACTTGCAAAAGTTAAGCCGTTTCTGAGCCGCTGTGACCTGGAAAGAGCCATCCATGCCTTTATTAGCTCAAGGCTGGATTATTGCAATACACTGTACATTGGACTTAGCCAAGCATCTCTCCACCGCCTACAACTGGTACAAAATGCTGCTGCCAGGCTCCTAACTAACACCCATAAACACGATCACATCACACCCGTACTTTACTCCCTTCATTGGCTACCTGTACAATTTAGGATCCAGTTTAAAACTTTATTATTCGTCTTCAACACAATAAATGGCCTTGCACCCACCTATATAAGCGAAACCCTGAAGCTCCACCAACCCAGCAGAGCTCTCCGCTCTGCTGGTCAGCACCTGCTAGAGGTCCCTTGATCCAGGAGCAAACAGTGGGGTGACCGATCATTTGCAGTAGCAGGTCCCAAACTTTGGAATGCACTGCCCTCTGACCTACGCACCACCACTGACCTGCCTCTGTTCAAAACCAAGCTAAAAACATACTTGTTTGATCTAGCCTTCAACTGAAACTGTTGTTCTTGTCTTGTGTTTGTTGTTTGTGTATGTTTGATTTGCTTTCATATTGTGAAGCACTTTGGTCAACCCTTGGTTGTTGTAAGGTGCTATATAAATAAATGTTGATTGATTGATAACTAAAAAGTTCAACCACCCATTCTACTCTTAGTAACTCTAGGCACTACAAAGAGTCCAGAGTTTAGGGAGCGAAGTGGTCTGTGGGGGCAGTAAGGGGTTAAGAGCTCTTTAATATATGATGGGGCCTGATTGTTGAGGGCCTTATAAATCAGTAGGAGGATTTTGAACTCTATCCTCTGTTTAACAGGGAGCCAGTGAAGTGAAGCTAATACAGGAGTAATGTGATCCCGTCTTCTGGTTCCTGTCAGTACTCGTGCAGCAGCATTCTGCACCAGCTGAAGGGTTTTTAAGGATCTGCTGAGACACCCTGATAATAGGGAGTTGCAGTAGTCTAGCCTAGACGTAATAAAGGCATGAATCAGTTTTTCAGAATCCTGTTTTGACAGGATGTGTCTGATTCTCTTTATATTACGCAAATGAAAGAAAGCTATTCTGGAGGTCAGTGAAGAAGTGAATAAAATCATTGCTGCTCAATGACAATGGGATTTTTGGTTCAATAGAGCTGTGGCTCTTGGTCAGCCTGGCTACAATGCTGAAGAGAAACCTGGGGTTGTTCTTATTGTCCTCTATTAGTCCAGAGTAATATGATGTTCTGGCACGTTGAAGAGCTTTTTTATACACTTCAAGGCAACTCCTCCAGGAAGTAAAATTAACTTCAGAACGGGAGGAGCGCCACTTCCTCTCTAACCTCTGTGTTGCCTGATTTAGGGTCCGAGTTTCAGAAGTAAACTACGGAGTGAACCTCCTCTGATGAATTAACTTCTTTTTCAATGGATAGTATTTATCAAGGACAGTTTGAAGTGATGAGGTTGTATTATCCACTAAGTTATCGAGTTCTGCAGGAGCGAGGTTGAAAAGATTATCACGCGTTTCATTTACGCTTGGCAGCAGAATAGAGGGAATTATCTCCTTGAATTTATCAATTTTGTTATCGGACAGTAACCGACTGAGTACAGTTGCTAGTCATAAATTCAAATGAGAGAAGGAAATGATCTGACAATAAAGGGTTGGAATCACACACTACTAGATTCTCAACATGCGGACCAAAACTGTAGTATTTTGGTTCACTCTCACTATCCTCTTCAACCTTGAACATTGCAACACTCCCATCAAGAATCATCACAGCATGTGAGGGATCCCTCTCCCAGGACGGCCAGAATTGCAATAGATGCAGTTTACAGATCAGTTTACAGCATTTGTTCGAATAAACAGTTTGTAGCAAATTGGGAGGTACATTAATTGAGGAATTATTGTCAGTAATCGTAGAATATCTGAGTAGACATATTATATATTAAGCAGTCATTTTGTAATCATAGTCCACGATCAGCAGCCACCATGATCGGGGTACACCTTCATGAGTGGATGTCATCATAGTCCCCAATCCATCATCATGATCCACCATTAGCTGCCACCTCGATCATGGTCCACCACTAGGTTCAGATGCCAGCATAATACAGGATCCGCCATTATGATCACAATCTCTGATTCAGTTCTCTAGTGGGGTGATACGGTACTATAAGCTATGTAAGGTATGATGGTGCCATATTATTAAGGGCCTTGTAGGTGAGGAGGAGATTTTTAAATCCTATTCTGGATTTAACTAGAAGCCAGTGTAGTGAAGCTAATACAGGAGATATGTCTCTTTTCCTGGTTCTTGTCAGGACACATACTGCATCATTTTGGACAAGCTGCAGGGTCTTTAACAACGTACTGCTGGAGCCTGATAATAAGAAATTACAATAATCAAGTCTGGATGTAACAAAGGCATGGACTAGTTTTTCAGCATCTTTTTGAGAAAGGATATGTCTGATTTTTGAGATGTTGCGTAAGTGAAAGAAGGCAGTCCTAGAAATTAGTTTTAAGTGAGAATCAAAGGACAAATCGGGATCAAAGATGACTCCCAAATTCCTGACTGTTTTACTGGAAGCAAGCGCAATGTCATCTAGAGCAGCTATATCATTAATGTATCTCTAAGGTGTTTAGGGCCAAGTATTAGAGCCTCTGTATTATCTGAGTTTATTAAGAGAAAATTGCAGGTCATCGAGGTTTTTATGTCCTTGAGACATGCTTGAACTTTAGTTAGTTGATTACACTGTTCTGGTTTTATTGATAGGTATAACTGGGTGTCATCCGCATAGTACTTGAAAAAATTACAGAGTTTATTCTCACCCTTCTCGCCCAAGATGAGTCTGACCACGGTTGTGTCATCTGCAAATTCACGATCTTGTTGCTGAGGTGGGTGGAGAAAGTCATACGTGTAGAGGGTGTAGAGGAGTGTGCTAGCAGACAACCTTGTGGCGAGCCGCTGTTCAGGCTGAGAGGAGTGGAGGTGTGGGAACCCAGTCTGACCCTCTGGGAGCGGCCTGAAAGAAAGTCCAAAATCCAGCTACAGGTGAGTGGCGGAAGCCCAAGGTCCACCAGTCGTTGTAGAAGGATGGTGTCAAGTGCCGAGTTGAAGTCTACACAGAGCATTCTGACATAGCTCCCCTGCTGCTCCAAGTCAGTCAGTGCGGCATGAAGTGCTGTAGATACAGCGTCCCCGTGGACCTCTTTGCTTTGCAAGCAAATTGAAGAGGGTGCAGCTCAGCAGGCAGGTAGGCGAGGATATGACTCCACACCAGTTTCTCAAAGCACTTCATGGTGACAGGTGTAAGTGCCACTGAGCACTAGTCATTCAGGTTGTTGATGTTGTTTTTTTTTGGCAGCAGTACAATGGTGGAGGACTGAAGGCAGGATGGGACAATGGCCTTAGACAGGGACTGGTTAAAAATCCTGGCGAAGATCCCAGCCAGTTGATCCGTACAGTCTTTCAGCACCCGTCCAGTCACACCATCGGGTCCCACGGCCTTCCTTGGGTTCACCTTCCTCTACCGTGAGAGTGAGGCTGCTGTGGACAGGCGGCTGTGATGGAGCTGCTGTTGGTGTCACCTCGAAGCAGGAAAAAAAGATGTTCAGCTCCTCTGCTAGTGAAGGGTCTCCCTCTGGGGGTGGGTAGTTTCTGGATCTGTAGCTGGTGATGTGCTAGACACCCTGCCACACCTGCCTGGTGTTGTTGCTCCTGAGCTGGTCCTCTATCCTCCTTCTGTATGTTGCCTTGGCCTCACAGATGCCTCTTTTCAGGTTGGCTCTAGCAGCATT